AATCCTCTTCAATAGGATAGCGGGTCCACCAAAACTATCACGTTAATAATTACCTCTGATAGTTCATTTCCTTCAAATTCCCCCACCAATCCTCTTCAATAGGATGGCGGGTCCACCAAAACTATCATGTTAATGATCACATCTAATAGTCCATTCCCTCCAAATTCTTCTGCCAATCCTCTTCAATAGGATGGCAGGTCCACAAAAACTATCACGTTAACAGTTACCTTTGATAGTCCATCAACTTGCCAATCTTTTTCAATAGGATGGCAGGTCCACAAAACTATCACAGTTACCTCTGATAGTCAGACTCATCAGATAATGGCCTACCAGGTGATGTGCCTCTATTTCGACTTCATGGATAGTGCCGCACTAGGCGATGTGCCTTGTCTATCTCTTTTTATTCCCCTGCTAAGTCTTAATCAAGACTGGGAGTTGGTTACTTGAAATCCACTGGATTAAGAGTAACGAATCTTTCACATCGTCGAGTTAACATTATATTTTTGACGATCATCATCCTCACAGAGTATGAATTCAGTTGGCATCGCTCCCAATTTGTCACGTTAACAATATACCTCTGACAATTAACTTATCAATCCTCTTCAATAGGATGATAGGTCCTCAAAATTGCTCAAATCACAATCTTCCCCAGCAAGACACTAAGTCTTCAAAATCTTAGTATCAAAATTCATCGCTTCTGATGATAAACTCACCTAGCAATTCTGCCCAGCGAGACGTTAGTCCCCAAAATCTTGTTCAAATCACAAGTACACAAATCTTGTCACGTTAACACTAAACCTCTGACAAATCAACTTATCAATCCTCTTCAATAGGATGATAAGTCCACAAAGTTGCTCAAATCGCAACATAAATCTTGTCACGTTAACACTAAACCTCTGATAAAACCCACTTATCAATCATCGTCAATAGGATGATAAGTCCACAAAGTTGTTCCCATCGTAATACAATCTTGTCACGTTAACATCATACCTCTAACAACCCACTTATCAATCCTCATCAATAGGATGATAAGTCCACAAAGTTGCTCTCATCGCAACATAAATTTCTGTCATGTTAATATCACACCTCTGACAAAATCAACTTATCAATCCTCTTCAATAGGATGATAAGTCCTCAAAGTTTCTCCGATCGTAATAAATTCCCGTCATGTTAACACCAAACCTCTGACAATCCACTTATCAATCCTCTTCAATAGGATGATAAGTCCTCAAAGTTGCTCTGATCGTAACAAATTCCCGTCATGTTAACATCACAACTCTGACAAAATCAACTTATCAATCCTCTTCAATAGGATGATAAGTCCTCAAAGTTGCTCCGATCGCAATAAATTCCCGTCATGTTAACACCAAACCTCTAACAATCCACTTATCAATCCTCTCCAATAGAGCGATAAGTCCACAAAGTTGTTCCAATCGCAACACAATCTTGTCACATTAACATCATACATCTGACAACTCACTTATCAATCCTCGTCAATAGGATGATAAGTCCACAAAGTTGCTCCAATCGCAACACAAATCCTGTCACGTTGATAAGTCCACAAATTTGCTCCCATCGCAACACAATCTTGTCACGTTAACATCATACCTCTGACAACCCAATTATCAATCATCATCAATAGGATGATAAGTCCACAAAGTTGCTCTTATCGCAACATAAATTTTTGTCATGTTAATATCACACCTCTGACAAAATCAACTTATCGACTCTCGTCAATAGAGCGATAGGTTCTCAAAGTTGCTCCGATCGTAACACTTTCCACTTATCGACTCTCGTCAATAGGGCGATAGGTCCTCAAAATTGCTTCGATCGTAACACTTTCCACTTATCGACTCTCGTCAACGGAGCGATAGGTCCATAAAAATACTGTTAGGTTAACATCACACCTCTAACAGTCAAACCCCCAAATGAACTTGTTAATCCTTTTTTAACAAGAATAACAAGTTGTCATTATAAAATCCCCAGCGGATTAAATATTTTTTGGAATTATCCTAGTGATAATAAAGAAAATTACTGAATTTCACTCTAAGTAAAAATTCATGCCAAGTTAATATTACACCTCTGGCGCTTCTAACTTTCTTTCAGTGTTTCAAGTAACACAGGAAGAAATAACGATAAAATCTACGTATTCAAAATCATAGCATCAAGTCTAAGAGGGTTCATTCTCTTAGCACAATGTTACATGTGGAACGGACTTAGACAATCCATGTGCTAGCCCGACTCAAACGGTAGTCCGTAAAGGATTATCAAATCCGTTGATGGTTGATGGTTTGCCAAAAATCCTATGAATGTTTGCGGGCTCATCAGCTGAATGGAGGTGAGCCGTGACGTGACATTTGATAGCTTTTACTCATGAGTAGCTTGTACCGTTGCTACAGTTTCTATTTGAAGCTCATCATCACATAGGTCATGTGTGGAAAATCCCTTCAACCAAGATGCATTTGAAGCGGGTGCAAAGAATAATTCCTTATGAAAAGGAATCAAAAGCTCCAAGATCAGAGTTGAGATCCAAAGTATTTCGAAAATTCGTCTCAGTCAACCGTGAACTTTTGAAAACTTTAGAGGGGGTTCTGTAGGGTGTCTAAAAATCACAATAGATAGTTGATTCCCCATCAAACACCGATGATGGAAGTTACAATCTGACGACTTCCAGAAGGCTACAATTTGAAGACTTTCACGTAGATCGATGAATGTTATAATCTGACGACCTTTACAATAGCTGATGAAAGCTCTAATCAACAACCTTCACAATCAATATCAGGAGTTACAATCTGACGACTCTCACATATCAAAGAGCTAAAGCAAAGATTACAAAACGACGATCTTTGCAACACTCTGACAAAAAGAGACTACAAATCGACGGTCTCTTCAAACCAAGACATGGAAGTCCTCCCCGCGTACCATCATCAAGACACAACACAAATTCGACCACGGACGCAAGTCAAATATGGCTGCAAACGCAGCTCATATTCAGCTCCAAACGCTGCAAACGCAGCTCAGATCCAGCTGCCAACGCAGCTCATGTTCGGCCGCAAACGCAGCCTCCGAAAGCTACCAACGCAGCTTTCATCCGTTGCCAAACGCAGCTTCCAACAAACACCCAAATGAGCTTCCAGCTGCTGCGTCCGAGCTTTCAGACACTGCGTTCAAGCTTCCAGACACTGCGTTTGAACGCAGAATTCACATCAGAATACAGATTTTGTGTTTGACTCGTTCAAACACGAGCTGAACGGTTTCAAAACCATTTTCCTCGATCTGAGGGGATCACAACTCCATTCAGGAGTTATTTAAGGGGCGATTACATCCCATTAGCCCCACTTAGGAGCGAATTAAGGGGACGGTTACACCCCTTAATCCCTTATAAATAACTAAGAAATCAGCTTAGTTCGGGGGCTGGTTCTTTCATCCTTCTTTTTGGCAGCAAAGAAAAGATCTTTGGGGGGAATTACTGGAGCTTTGGAGATCAGCAACAGGAGCATTCTTCATCCTTGGCTTATAGACCGATTTCGGTTAAATCAACTCTTTCATAGAGTTTCAAACTCGTTCAGAGTTCTTCACAACGTCAAATCGTGAGGAGAAGACCACGTTTCAGTGAATCAAGACATCCGGATCGTCAACGGAGAGTAAACTCGACGCGAGCATTCGAGTGAGGCACTCCATCGCCCCCGTGAAGAACCCAAAATTAAACAAAGTGGAGAATCCAGATTAATTCTCCTCTCTTTTGTAATCAGGAAATCCAATTGTAATCGAGATCGAGAGAATACAAATCAAATTTCATTCATTCTTTTTACTACAAATTTTCCACAAACAGTTAGTTGACTGTTTTTCCTCTTATTTTTGGTCTATTTCTGTCTCTTTGTTTTTGAAACAGAGTGTTGTTGAGAACTTGGCTGGTTAGGTTACCATATCTGCCTTTAAAAAAAACACCCAACTCAAGTGCAAGCTGTCATCAAATTAGAGCAATAGAGAAGGACAAAGTTTAGAAATAGAACTTTTCAAAAAAAAATTTATCAATTTCATTCTATTTGCAAAATATTTATTTAAATCTACCTAGTTTCAGCCATATCAATAAACTTAGGTCGGTTTTGGAAAAGAAATTCCGAACTCCACGGGATTGGCAACCCAGTAGAGCTAAATTGTGTGCTCAACTGTAGGAGATTCCCAAACTTGTAGACTCTATGAATTTTTTTTTAAAAAAATTGACCTAGTTTCTAAAATATTTATCAAAATCGATCTGTTTCAATCAATGTGACAGAAACTATGTATATTTGATAAATATTTTAAGAATAGATTGATTTAAAGGGTCTAATTCAAAAATTTGTCCCATAGAGAAAGTATTCCCCAGTCTCAAAATCAAGGTATGGCTTTTATCCTCTCATGAGGCGCTGACTATAGCTAACTTAAAAATAAGATTCATCATCCTCCTCATCTTGTTTTTTCTGCATTAATTTTTCTGTTTATTATCTTTCCCCGATACTTAAAGCCTCCATTTTCTGTGTCTGTGGATATCGCGGCTGCCATTCGCTGCTTGAAGGTTAGGGCATTCCAACTTGAAAGAACCGACAGAACCGAACTGAGACAGTCCAGTTTTGTTCGGTTCCGTGTACTCTTTGGCGTGGTTCAATTCGATTTCACCCAGAATGATCAAAACCAATCTGACCAACCAACCGTTTGCACTACCCCTAGCGGGCGGGACGCCTCACATGGGATGATAAGGGGACATCTTTGATATTTTCATTCCTCCTTGTGCAGCTTAGATGCTCCACTCACATGCGGGACGTTCTGAAGAGATGTGTTCTGAAGAGATGTGTAGTGTATTTGTTGAAGTCGATTTGACTACAATAAATTCTAACACATTCTTTTATTAATTAAAAAAAGGGAAAAATGCTTCTAGCCCCCAAAACTAATGAAAACGTGCTTCCCGCCCCCCAAGACTTTTTCAACGCTCTTAAAACCCCCAAATTCGTAAGAACTATGCAATGAGCCCCCAAAACACAAAGCCCAAGAATTTTACACAGGTAAAGACTATAATACCTATTCTCTCTCTAATATTATATTCATAATAACCATACAATCCCCTCGTCGTCGTCGAGTTCGCCACCACCGTGAAGATGGTGGCCAAGCTGGATGAGCCCGAAGAGCAAAACTACGTGAGAAAGCACACCCGCCAACTAGCTGAAAAACTCAGTGTGTCGATGCGCGAAGCGGCCACCCGTATCTTCTCCAACGCCTCCGACTCCTACTCCTCTAATGTTAACCTTGCCGTCGAAAATTCCTCCTAGAATGACGAGAAATAGCTCCAAGACATGTACCTTAGTCGCAAATCCTTTGCCTTTGACAGTGACGCTCCAGGCATCGGCATGACCGAGAAGCGCAAGGTCTTCAAAATGGCCCTCAGCACCACAGACGCCATGTTCAAAAACCTGGACTCATCAGAGATATCGCTGACCGACGTAAGCCACTACTTCGACTCTGACCCGACCAATTTGGTGGAGAACCTCTGGAAGGACGGGAAGAAGCCGAGCTCCTACATTGCGGATACGACGACTGCGAACGCGCAGGTGAGGATGTTGTCAGAGACTGTGAGATTGGATACGAGGACTAACCTCGAATACAGGCCGGCTACACTTCATTTTCATTTTGTCCAAAAGAAAAAGAAATATAGAATAGGAATTATGGTTGAGAGTGATCAGAGAATTTCTTGACTGTATAAGTTTTTGATTGCTCATAGGTTAGTCTACAATTATGCTATAAGTTTTACCCGTAACCTTAACAAGCTACACGTAAATCGCTTGGCAACGCGTAACCTTAATAAGTAACCCGTACGCTTAACAATCAACGCGTAAGGTAACCCGTACGCTTAACAATCAACGCGTATAACCTTAACAAGCAACCCATAACTTTAATAACCAACGCATATAACCTTAACAATCAACGCGTAACCTTAACAACCAACGCGTAACCTTAACAACTAACCTGTAACCTTAACAACCAACGCGTAACCTTAATAACTAACCCGTAACATTAACAACCAACGTGTAACCTTAACAAGCTACACATAAATCGCTTGGCAACGCGTAACCTTAACAAGCAACCCATAAGCTTAACAATCAACACATATAACCTTAACAAGCAACCCGTAACCTTAACAATCAACGCATAACCTTAACAACCAACGCGTAATATTAACAACTAACTCGTAACCTTAACAACTAACTTGTAACCTTAATAACTAACCTGTAATCTTAACAACCAACGCGTAACCTTAACAAGCAACCTGTAAGCTTAACAAGCTACATGTAAATTGCTTCTCGCTTAGCAACGCGTAACCTCTTGTCCAACCTCCCAAACTTTACCACTAGGCCAAGTGACCTAAAGTATTTATATCACTCAAAATATATATATACATATATATCCCAACATGTAACCTTAACAACCAACCTCTAACCTTAACAACCGACCCGTAACCTTAACAACCAACGCGTAACCTTAATAACCAACACATAACCTTAACAACCAACGCGTAACATTCACAACTCATAACCTTAACAACCGACTCTAACCTTAACAACTCATTTTTTTATACTTTTCAATTAATACTTTAGGGGAATTTCCGATTGAACCCTCTATTATCTTGTTTTTCACTAAACAACAAAAAATTTCATGGAAATGCACAGGAGTGAGGACTTAATTTCATGGAAATTTTTGTAAACCGTGCGATGAGTTGCATCAAATTAATTACATCAACCTCCAGCCCACAAATTAACGTCACATATAATTTTACAAAATCACATTAATCACCGATCAATCCCCTCAATCTTGTCCTCAACCTCCGAATACAGCTGCCTCAACTTCTCCAAGTTCTCCTCCGACGTCTCCCAATATCCTCTACCGCTCGCCTCTAAGAACATCTGCATCATTTTCCTGAAGGAGTTCGGGTTCGTCTCCATTAACCTCTTCAGCATCTTCTCATCCTTTATGAACGTCATGTTCGCCTCCTCGTACACCTAATTGTCGATTTTCCCTGATGCTGTGGCTCGGCTCGTTCTGGGCGTTGGCGAACTCGACGACGATGAGCCTGCCCTTGGCGGCGACGAGGGCAGCAGTGAATTCTTTGGCGATGTTGATCTTTTTCACGCGATCGTCTAGAGAGAGAGAATGTGTATTATAGTCTTTACCTATGTAAAATTCTTGGGCTTTGTGTTTTGGAGGCTTCTTACGAATTTGGGTTTTTTAAGAACGTTGAAAAAGTCTTGGGGGGCGGGAAGCATGTTTTCATTGGTTTTGGGGGCTAGAAGCATTTTCCCCTTAAAAAAATTTAAAAACTAATGTGGCATCATCAGGTTAGATGATTTTAAATCACAAACTATAGACTATTTTAATTATGGTTAGAAACACTTTATTAGCAATAATCTAATTTCCTATAGAGAGCCTCTATAGGAATATATATTTCCCCCCTTTTTGGGGAGTGATTCAACAATTTAGAGAGAGCTATATGGTTGAGAGGAAATAGAGTTGCAATAATAAATGCTACAATCAAATTTACATTTTTAACATTAGGTTAGTCAAATTAGTTGAGAACATTTTGTTAAAAAAATATTGCAACTTTTGTTGGAGTACACATCCCCCTCATAATGCCACACATGCAAGCAGAGCATCTAAGCCGCACATGAGATTAATGAGGGGTATTTTTTGTATTTCATGCCCCTATGCAACTCAGACGCCTTGCTCGCATGCGGTGTGCTCTGAGGAGATGTGTAGTGCATTTGTTGACGTTAATTTGACTGCAATAAATGCTAACACATTCTTTCATTAATTAAAAAATTAAAAATTAATGTCACATCATCAAGTTAGTTGATTTTAAATTATAAACTGCAGACCACTTTAATTATAGATAACAGACACTTTACTAGCAATAAAAATACATCTTTTACAATAAAAGTGCAAATATTAAAACTTTTTGCAATAAGTCAAGCATTCGATTTGAAGTTGTATGAGCATCTCAAAAGGGCCGAAAAAATCTAACCCCTTAGCTAAATAAGGGGATATTTAAGGGGGATTGGCTCCAAGGGACCGGATTTTTCCCCTTCACCCCCAAGTTCCTTAACTTACTCCCTAAATTAAGGGGAAGGTTAAATCCCTTAACCTTCCCCTTATAATTTTATATTAATATATTTTATTTTAGAGTTAATTTATAGTTAATTAAATTTAGTTAATGTATAGTTAATTTAAAATAATATAATTAAGTTAATGTATAGTTAATTTAATTTGATTAATATTTTTTAAAATGTAGCCCTTATAATTTTTTATTATAACTTTTTATTAATATTTTTTATTAATTATAGGTTGTTTTTTCTAGTATTGTTAAATTAAAATAATATAAAAATAATATGAATTTAAATTTAAAATAATATTTAACATTTAACACAATTTATATAAATTATTTATTATCTAAATTAATTATTTGTAAAATTTTAATATGATTAATTAATTTAATGATTATATAATGTACTTTCTTAATTTAAATTAATTAATTATATTTAGTTATTAATATTTAATTATTTATTCATTTATAAATAAATCACATATTTAATTAAATTCTAATCTATAAAATTAAAAAAACTAAACATAATTAATTAAGGGTAGGGGACTTTTAAGGGTGAACCATTGGAGAAGAACCAACCCCCCTTAAAGTTCGCCCTAAATTAAGGGACATCCAAGGGATTCCTTGGAGATGCTCTAATAAATTTCTCCTACAATGAAGGCACAGATACCAACGATGAATTTGAGATTCCTGCTATAATAAATACTACATGTAGTATTATTTGGGTGTAACATCTTTGTTTTTTTATAAGTAACCGAGGCAAGATATCTAGAGATTTATGAATTAGAAAAAAGATACATAGTATACATGAGAAGAAAGGGAGTGAATATGGAGAAGTACAGAAGGAGAAGTTAAGAGGAAGTATTAGAAGATGAAAATACGAAAACCGCTTACTAAAATAATGTGTCACACTTGTCGGAGATGATCATCTTTGTTGGAGAAAAGGCAATTTTGCCTTAATGAATACTAATAAATTTTATAATTAAAATATGCTTTAATTAGAACTTAAAATGAGTATAATGACTATACATTATGACAAACGTTACGGAATTATTTACGGGTTTTGTAACGTCTTTTCCAACCCTATATATATCCGTATGTTGAGCTCAAAATAATAAGAAAAAATATACAAAAAGTTTCGTTTGTTTTCTTCTCTCCCCTACATATTATTTTCATCTATATCTTAGTTTTATTTTATGGGTAACTTCCTTCATCTTAGCTGAAGCTCTGCACTCTCGCCTGAGTGCAGAGGCCGGCCGTTCCGGGGGCTTGTACCGCTAGGGGGGAGGGAACCATCTACGCTAGGGCGATAGACAGGTTCTCAATCTTCTAGGGCAGTGAATACACGACTGCTCCTATCAGGCCTAATTTTTCTTATCTCTCATTTATTTTAATTTTGGATTTACTTCATGCTATAATCTTAATTATTTGATATATTTACAACAATCTAGAAGATTGAGAATATAGCACTTAAGTATTAAATCCGAAATAATTATAAGTTTTCTATCACTATTCATTTAAAAAATATTTTTGTTCATCCGAAAGAAAAAAAAGACGAAAGTCACTGTTGACTCAAAAAAAAATTTCGTGCAATTTGCAATTACTGTTCATTAAAAAAATATTTCTGCTAATTGCTTATCTATTAATTAATAGTATTGTTGAAATAATAATAATAATTAAATTTTGATTACTGTTCATCCGAGAATTTTTACTTGTTAATTATTGATTAGTTAATTATTGCATTTATTACATTTAATTAATTGTTGTTAATTAAGTTGTAATAATTACTACTAATTAATTCTAACAGTTACTTACAATTAATTGTAATTAATTATTTTAATTGCTTTTATTGCTTTAATTGCTATTTTAAGATGTTGTAAGTGGGCTCTTTTGCCTTCCAGTACCTCACCAGTTTGAAGTTCAAGCTCTTCCACAAATTAAATCGTTTTCAACCTTGATGTTATAAGCTTGCTGGGGCGAGCCGGAGTCGTTCTGATAGACCCCACAAAATAAATTTTTACTCTCACGACATGAAAATCATGAGGTTCGAACATCAATAGGTAAACCCCTCCTCGACCTTATCCAACATATGTTTGCAGTATAATGCTATGCAAATTAAATGCTTGTAGGAAATATTTTAAAGTTTCTATATACTGTTAAGGAACAAAAACTCATTGAGTGAACCGATTCAAGTTTTCTTGAATTAGTTGGTGTCTAAGGCAATGTTTAGGGGTTGCGTAACGCGCTCTGCAAGGAACGAGGTACTTTATTGATCTTTGATCAACCTCTATTACTATCCTTACCTGGCTAACTAGCCGAGTAAAACTTTAATCTTTTCGCTTTAGGAGTTTTTGGTTTGGAATAAGAGGACCGGAATTATGAGAAAATTCATATGCATTTATTTAATTACGCTTCTTGCATCATATATTGCCTAATGATAAATGATCAATATATGAGCAAACCAAATCAAAGAGGTGCATCTTTTAAAATTTTATTTTATATGATGGATTATATTTCAAATCTTCAAATGTAAAGTTCATCTCCTTTATTGCATCATGATGGATATTGCAATAAATGTTCATATGTCTTTTTAGATAACTT